TTAAGATATCTTTAGTAACTTATTTTGCTATTTGATACTTGGAATAAACCATCAATTAAGAAAGCCACTGTAGAATTAAAGCTGTAAAAGCTCTTGTTCACAGTTAAATTTAAATCTGCACAATATGGAGCCGGTTAGCCTGCATGGAAAGCCTCTTACACACATCATGCCACAGCGTAAACGCCTCCTCTCCTCTCTAAAGCATAGTGATGGCAGCATTATGGTACAGGCTTATCTTTAGCAGTGACAAGGCAAATGCAGTCCTGTTGGAAAACAGGCTCACAGCAAGGAGCAGAGGTTCACCCTCCAGGATGCTTTTTATTAACTGGGACCTAATAACACAAGATAAAGTGTCTCTTTCTGAAAAGCTGTCAGAGAACTTAGCATTTGTGGGTCTAATAACACAAAAGGGATACATTTCTAGAGAAATTAATGCTTTTTTCACGTTACTGAAACAGTTAAAGTACATTTACATCTTATTTTACAGAAGGCGTCTAGTTTCTGATTTACTGGTTCCTTTCTTGCTCTTTAACATGTAAAAGGCTGAACACAGATGTAAAATGAGAATATAACACCAACTTTGTTTTTTTTAACTCTGCAAAGATGTTCCTGCAGAGTCACTATTCTGCAAAACACAAAGAAGACATGAAATGCTTCTGTTCAAAATCGAAGACGCAAATTTTTCAACGCAGGCACATTTAATCATACCTACGCTCCTACCCAGACTTTGATAAGAGGTGTTTGGTTGAAGGTTTCCATCCAGCATTTTTACACTTAGCTGTAAATCATCATTCAGACGTTGAAGAGAAGCATTTCTCCCCACCTGTGAGACGTTAGCTGCACTCTGTAAAAGCTAATAAAGCTTCAGCTTTCTGACAGGGGCCTGGATGTTACTGAGCCCTTCTTACGATATATTCTAATACTTCACCTCGCACTGCCAAAATTCCTCCACAACGTCCCGCAAAGACGCACAGCTGGAAGCGTCAATAAATAATGGATCGTTTCATTTCACCATGCTGTCTGTATAAATGACCGTGATTAGTTTTATACTTTAGTTTTGCACAAAATTAAGAGTGACTAGAGGAAAAAAAACGTAGTATGCATGGAGTAAAATATGTTAAGTCTATTTTATTCCAGATGCCTTTAATTAAGTTTTCTGATCTCCATGTTGGTTCTAGTTTTAAGTGCTGCTGGTGTAAAATGTAATCTGATCTAATTGCACCAGAGGTTTTATAATACTGGCAATCAAACTCACCTCAAATAGTAATCTAATAATCAGTCACCAATAGAACCATTATCAGACTTTTTCCAGGGCTATTTTTTTAGTCAAGATGAAACACAAGCTTCCAATTGAGCATGTTTCTTATTACCTCATGTTTTTAGGAGACATCTATTGATTTCTTCGAGCAAAATAAACAAAAGCACACTTAGAAGTACATTTTTAACACTGTTATCATCTTTAATTCAGAAAAGGAAATCCATACTTCATTCCCTGGACGTGCCTTTAACATCAACATGGATTGGTCCCTCTGGGTTCAAACTGCCAAGGTTAGATGGTGCTTGACTGGCTTGTTGGGGGATCTTGGGGGGTCTCCCCTGCGAGGTTTCGGGTAGTCTTTCTGCCAGGAGTCAGACCTGGGTCTATCTGCCCTTTGCAGGACATAGCTGCTGTGGATTGATGGCCTTTTTTTTTTTTTACTACCGTTACAGCCACTCAACATAAACACACATATTTCTACAAATATGCCCCCCAAGCATCCCCACATGGATGCTCCGAGTGGCTGAAGGTCATAATAACACGCGTTACTGTACCATAAATGTGATGCTAACTATGATGATGTATTGAATCTGGATTTATAAAAGTTAATGGAGTAGGGATACCTTTTTTTCTTTGTAGAGCAAATCTGCCGCCCCCCACCACCACCACCACACGTAGGCTTCATCTGCTCTTTATGGTATTATTGGTATTATCATTGTAAAATTATCCCTGCTTTCACTGGATTTTCTCGTAAAAATTGCTCTTTACTCACAAAAAAGACATTGACTGTAAAAAAAAAAAAAGGTTCTGAACAATTGAATAAAAATCTTTGCTTATTTTAAAATAAAGGCCATGCATATAAAAACAAGGTTGCACCTGCTTCATTCAAGGTAAATGCTGGTTTGCTCTTTCAAAAACCTATTTGACACCAAGAGGTTCACAAACCAGTACACAGTGGACTGAAATGGGTGCTGACTCTTCATATGACTGACATGCCTCCTGCTTTAGCCAATCAGGCTGAAGCAGGTTAAGTTAGTCCTTGCCTTCCCTCTCATTGGACACAACTGATTGTTACTGATTGTATTTCAGTTGTCAGATGGATACTTCTTTTAGGATATAAATCATATCAGAAAATTCAAATTTATTCAAACTGGCTTCAGGGGAATCATAGAAAGTTCACATGTGGATCAAAGACCTTCACAGCCACAAGGTCTCGATCTGACGACCCTTTATGGATGTGTAGAAATGTTGCCACCACCTTATTGAATTTATGTATTGAATTCTTAAGTGAAAAGAGTGTCCAAAACGTAATAACTAGTAACAGTACACATAGTGGTATTCTGTAGATGTGCATTATTATAAATAGCAAAAGACATTTTTAGGCCCTGATACCAATACCTGGCTGTACAGATTTTTCTTGTGTTTTTTAGTTTTTGCAGCACTAGTGGCTTGGTTTTTCAACAGTAGGCTGACAGGAAAGGGAGTATGAGAGAGAGGGAGAGACATGCGGCTAAGGACCAAAGGTCGGATTCGAACCCGCATCGAGGACTAAGGCATGTACATGGTACTTGGGTTGTGCGCCCTAACCGCTGCGCCAGCTGCACGCACAGGCTGTGCACTATCGGCCGATACCGATACCCTACCCAGACCATATATTTGAAATTGATGTGTGTGTATATATAAAGAACTGCATACTACTTGGATATAAAATATTTGCCATCATGGCTTTGTCAAGCTGCTGCCTACTTTTGTGAAGCAGGAAAAAGACTAAAAGTGAATCCAGTAGAACTTTTTATTGCCTACCTGGAATAGGTGACAATAGTTAAAGAAGCTTTTGGCTCTCAAAATGGTATCGGTGCCCTAACTGGTAATCGCCGATACAGATACACCGTTTTAGTGCTGGATCAGGGCCCCGCCTGATACTGGTATCGGTATCGGTGCAACACTAATTAGAAAGTCTCTCCAAGCTTAGTTTATCCAGATGTTGACGGCCATTTCTGTTCAGGATGTTTTGCAGAAGAACAGATGCCAAATGTTATTGTTTCTTGGTGTTCTATGTAAGGACGGGGGTACATTCTATTCTATTCTATTTTATTTTATTTATTTATTTTCTTATTTTTTTCCTACTTGCTTTGATTCTGTTTTATTTTCCTATATTTCAATCATGTAAAGCAGTTTGCATTGTCTTTGTACTGAATTGTGCTATACAAATACATGTGCCTTGCCTTGCCTTAAAAGGCCTTAAAAGGATTTATGATTTAGAAGAAGCCTTCACCCACAGTATGAGAAACAGACAAACACAAAGCTTTTTTATTTTTTTATTTTTTTTTTTATTTATAGCAATCTCACCAGCGGCAGGTTTTCTGTCTGAATTAATCAACTGACTCCATCTCCCGATCTCTCTGTTCTTGGTTGTGATCCTCATGGACGTCCTGGTGTTTTCTCTCCTCCCCCTGCTGCTCCTCTGGCTCTTGGATGCCCTCCATGGTTCCAAGTGACTGACTACCTGCTGATTCTGTGGATGCTGTGTGTGATATTGTGAAAGAACTAGCAATCTCTTTCAGAAGAGCCTGTTCAGCCTTCAGTTTAGCCAGCGCCTCGGTCAGTGGGCTTGTGAGCTCTGGTGCTCCAGTAGAGGCGGGGTTTTCTGTATTCTGAGCAGGATGATCCTCCTTTGGGTCTCTAGGAGCCTCCTGCACCTCACTGCCCTCCTGCTGAGCTTCCTCAGGTTTGCATAGGTCTGTTTGACCTTCCTGCACCTTTCCAGATAAACTCTTCCTTTGCTCCTGCAAAGCCCTGCACAGACTTTCAAGCTTCTGGTTCTTGACAGTGAGAAGCTCGAACTCTTTTTCTTTAATCGTTCTCTGATGGGAGGAGACAGACAAAACATTCATATTATTATTATAAGACTGCTAAAAATTCAGTTTTGGACGCTTTTAAAACGCATACAGAACGCTGCAAAACTACTCTCACCTTATGAACTTTTTTTCATGCTGTACTTTTAATAACCAAAAACTGTAATGTTTTGTTGTTGGTTTATTATTTTAACAGAAATGTATGTGATAGACCAAGGGTGAAGGTTGTAAGAAGCAACAAGCAGCATTTCATGTCAGAACGACACACAGGTGGTGATCATTTTAAAAACTATTGGAATTTACTGTTTGCTTTGGTTCCAGTGACTATTTCCAATAAAAAGTGATACCAATGTCATTTCTATAGTTTGAATTCACACATCCAGGGACGCTCATGTTGTATTTCGATGCCAGCTAACTAGGGCTGCAACAACAAATCAATAAAAATCGACTTTTAAAAGGGTTGGCAACGAATTTAATCACCGATTAGTTGTGTCGCGCGATTAATGCGTCATCCGCCACCGCCGTCATCCGGGGGAAGAAAAAAAAATATGGCGGAGCGAGTCAGCGCCGCAGTTGCAGTGTTGCCAACTCAGCGACTTTTCAGACCCCTCCAGCGACTA